GTTCAGGGATAGAAATCATGTTGGGGAGCTTCAGTTCCAGGGTCACCAGGACCTTTGTTAGAGGCCCTTCACAAGTGGGCAGGAGAAGACATGTCTTGTAAAAATATCAGCATGTTTCCATCTGCACATCTAAGCACTTTGTTATCTAAAAAAAAGCAATCATCTTATTTATTCCTTGTACAGATTACTGAGATAAATTAGGAGTGAGAATAAATATGCTCCAGATGTGGGGAGTGGTGGTACAAGCTAAGGACAGGGAGATCCCAGAGCAGGACACACCTCTAGGGAATGCAAAGGGAACAGAGAATTCAAACAATTAAGTAATTGAGAGCTCATTTTTGTCAGTTCTCTGTGTACATTCACAGTACAGCACTCCAAGATCTCCATTTCCATAGGGTTTTCCCACGAGGGCTGGAAGGCAAATGTCATGAGAACATCGTGTATGGATCTTCTAAAGATGAACCCAGAGGAACTCGCGGGAGGGGGGAGCGAAAGAAATCCTAAAAGACAAGTTCATTTATCTTCCCAAAGAAGGGAAGGGGGAGGATTTACAGACTCATTTGTTCTGCATGAGGATGGGTGTGCCACCAGCCTGTCAAGTGGGCAGAAAATATTTTCCAGGACTGTACTTTTTTTTTTTTTTTAGTCTCTAGACTCACAGCGAAATGCCAGGGATGTTAGGAGGAATTTGAAAACTGTAGTTGTTAAAATATTAACAACCCTGCCCCTGACTGTCAAATAAATCTAGTAAAAGTGGCAGCTAAATTACTCAGTTCCCACAAACTTCAATGAAAAGAACTATTTGGCACAGAAGAATATTTTGTCTTAAAATTTGGAGATAAAAGTTAAAAGGACAGTGACCTCCAAATACTTCCCAGGCATATCCCCCCTTGGAACACAATTCAGAGCCCTGAGAAACACAGGCGAGTGTTTGCTTTGGGTTTCAGAGCTTTTTGTTTGTTTGTTTCAATCAAGTTTATCTCAACAGGAAACGTATCTTGCCAAATTTGATCAACAATACTGAAAAGAGCAAACAAGAAAAGGTAACCTGCTTCCCCTGCAAAGCTCCTCTCAGAAGGAAAACATTTTCACCAACAGCTGAACTTGAACATTATTTTAAGTTTGAAATGGTCAGTGGCTTCTAAATTAATCTAAATGGCCTAAAAATACAACAGAATGGAACACTTAGGAAAAACCAAAGGCTGTTTTGGTTGTGTTTTTTTTTGATTTTGGCTTGTAATGGCACCCAGGTTGATTTGCTCTTCCAGATGGTCAAAGGAGGGGATTCATCCCCTCTACTCTGCTCTTATGACACCCCATCTGGAGTACTGCCAGAGGGCAGGGTTAGATGGGATACTGGGAAGAAATTCTTCCCTGGGAGGGTGGTGAGGCCCTGGCACAGGTTGCCCAGAGAAGCTGGGGCTGCCCCATCCCTGGAAGTGTCCAAGGCCAGGTTGGACGGGGCTTGGAGCAACCTGGGCTGGTGGAAGGTGTCCCTGCCCATGGCAGGGGTGGCACTGGATGAGCTTTAAGTCTCTCCCAACCCAACCCATTCTGGGACTCTATGGCTGATCTAGCAGGGCTTTGAAAATATAAAGCAGCAGAGCATTGTTTTATGGGATCCAAATTCTAAGACATGCTGAGATTCCTTAATGACTGCCCAGTTAATGCTGTGGAAGTGGCCAGTGGCTCTGGAAGTGGCCCCTGTTGTTCTGCATCAAAGCCAAATTTTAGCTACACTCATAATTTAGGATTTTTGCCTGTTTTTTCATGTCCACTTAAATACCTACAGCTGCTCATTGTGCTGTTACACAGGCCCCAATTCCACGTTCCCAGAGCAATGTTTACTCTCAAATTATTTCTTCTGTTGAGCTTCACAGGTAGAATGGTTGACACACAACCATCATTAGGCTTTTGATTAAAGAAACAGTGGAAATAATGAGAGAACACCCTTTACAAGCAGGGTAATTATCTCAGAAAAAAGGTACCAGCCCAGGTAGGTTCCTGCAAGTCCTTTAGTGAAACAAAGGCAAAAAAAAAGGAAAGGAAAAGAACTGAAACTTCTAACTTGGGGGACTGGGAGGGAAGCAGAGATTCAGATGCTGAATCTCCAACTCATATTAAACTAAAAATTAGGACAATACACAGAGATGCCTCAATTGTTGTGTGCAAGCCACACACAGCCTGTTTGTTGATGCTGAAAATACCTGTTCATCATTTGGACTCATTCTCAGGATGAATTTCTCATAACATTTGAACAGTAGGAAGCTCTTTATTGGGCATCATTAAGAAGAAAAACTACAAAGAAATCCTCAACAACTAATGCACGTAGGCCAACATAACCTCACTTTTAGCTGCTAGCTCTTTAGAAATGGGTATTTCCAAGCAGCAAAGTCTTATGGTGAACTACAGTTGAAAGGTTCAAGGTCTGGATGTAGCATCTTTTTTAAAAAATCCACAATTTTTTTAAGACCAAGACAACCAAGGGAAAAGAGGAATTTATTCCCCTTCTCATTTATTATCTTTTTTCGACCAAATTTCTTCAGGGGGGCTCTAAGCATTGTCATTTGACCCACCTAAAAATGGAGGAGACACTGGCCCTCCTCAGACACTTTGGAAGTGTTTCCCATCACACAGATATTCTTGAGCTGTGCTCTCTGACACCCAAAAGAATATCCTCAGCTTTGTGCTCAGCAACTGGCCAGGAGTTTTTTTCCAGGCTTCTACTATTCCAGTGAACACTCTCATCAGTGAAGCAACAGCAATTCTCACACTGAATCATTTTGCTTCTTAAAATATTTTTTAAGATTTCATTTTCAGTGCACACACTAAAGTAAAAAAATAACAATAATAACATAAAAGTGTTTGTTTTTGTTTTTTTTTCCCAGACAGTCCCATGCTTCAGCATTGGTCATTAACATCTTCAGGCCCTTTTTGCAAGGATGATGAAGTCAGGTTGCTGCCCTAATCAAGTTCTAAAATAAGTAATTGCATTTTCTCTGTCTTAACTCGCCCTCTCAACGAGAGGGATTGTTTTTCACTGCCAAGCTGAACGTTTTTTCCTGTTGCACTACAACATGAAATACTTGCAATGTTATACCAGGGGACTGCAAGGAGCTGATCTCTACAGCTCTGCTTTGCAAACACTGCCGGGGCCCCTGGGGATGGAGCTGCCCATGGAACACGGCGGTTTTCCGATGAGCAGCTGCTTCCAGGGACACCTGATACTCTCTGATGAACCTCCCTGAGCCCAGAGAGAGCAGGGGAGGGTTGTGGTAATTGTGCAGTGACTGTGCAGACCCCAGAGCTCTGGTTACACCGGCAGATGAGCAGTTGGCTGATGGAAACACCATTAAAAGAATTAACTTTGCAGTTGTGACTTTTAAAACTCATCCTCATTTCTAACCTTAGCAGGAAGGCAAAGTAAAAGAAAATATTGCCACAGAGCAGATTAATTCCCACAGAGCAAGGGTCTTGGTTTGAATGAACTGGACCTGGTTTGAGTTTCCATTAAATAGTTTCTATGCGAACCAGAAAACAACAACTGGCACAACTCCAGCCCAGCTCAGTTACAAAACTGCAATAGAATAGAACTGTTTAGAATAATTGTGGATCTGGTTACAATTAGAGATAATTTTCTAGCTGCAATAGAGCAGGTCAGGGATGGTGGTCATGTGGGAAGTCATCTCTCACCCAAATGATTGAGGGAAATAATTACCCTCGAGTTTTCTGCCTCTCTGGGCACCAGAAATGCTCTCACCTCCTGGTCAGTGAGAGATGCTTTCCCACACACTGAACCCAAAGTGGAAATAATGCCAGTACCTTTCTGGAATTCATTTGGCATCATCAGTAAGTAAACCCAGCCCAAAACTTTCTCCTGAATCACCTGATCAACAATTTCCTCCTCACTGCTCAAACCATCACCAGCCACATCTCCACACAAGGTGCTCACGCTGCAAAGATTCCTCATGGCAAAACAGAAACCTCTCAGCAACCACAGAGACAAAGACAAATGTGCACAAATCCTGCCTCATCTCTGGGGTGTCCGTGACATCCCCGTGTCCCTCTGGGACTCAGGAGCCTCCTTGTCTGTGGAGAAACGGGAGGCAGCACCACATGGCCATGGGTGCCCCCAGGAGCCAGCGGGGTTAGTTCTGCTCACTGGGAAAGGGCCCCAGCTGAACAAGATCCATGGGTAGGTCTGTCAGCTGGTCAGATGTGAGCAAAGCAGCTCCTTAAGCCCCTGTCTGCTCCTGTCTGAGCAATAAGCTCAGCCTAACAGCAAACGGTCCACCGGGCAAACTCCATCCAGCTGATGAGGACAGACAGATTTCAAAGCAGGACGGCAAATTTCTTTAAAAGGGACACGGATCCATGGAATGATGACCACTTGTTTTGATGGAACAAACCACCCCCTGATGAAAGAGGCAGCTGCAAGGGCTGGGTGTTGATCGTGGTGGTTGCTGGCACAACACGCGGTGCCTGTCGGGCACACGCTGGCCGTGCCTGACACGGCAGCCAGCAGGAACTGGTGATGGAATGACTCCCTCTCCAACTCATTTTTTTCTGTATAAACGTAACAGTGCAACACACACGACTGGGACATCAGCCACAAACACCTGACTGGCACATTTAAAATAAATTTGTGCTAAACTGAAAGGATTGTTCTGAGTTTTCTAAACCTTTATAGCACATTCTTTGAAGTGAACAGCACGAAGTACTTGCTACACAGAACCATGCAATCATTTAGACCTTAAAGATCACTGAGTCCAACCATTAACCCAGCACTGCCAAACCTACCACTAAACCATGTCCCCAAGTGCCACATCCTCATGGCTTTTAAACCCCTCCAAGGAGGGCAAACTGTCTTAAGATTTTAAAGTGCAGCAAAAGTTGTAATAATATATGAATAAATGCACCGAGAATCTGGAGAACACAAAACAATCTAGAGCAGAAGCTTGCAAATACCCCTGGTATCAATGAGAAGGAAAGTGTTTTACCTCCCGAGTGGGGCGGGGGCCCACACAGCAGCACCATGCCCTGGCCCTGGCGCACAGACACCGTGCTCCTCGTCCTGGTCTTGAAGTTCTCCAGGTCTGCCAAGAGAGAAAGAACTCAGTCAGAGGGCCATTCATGGTTTCTCCTCGTGAGAAGCATAAAAGCTTCACCAGGACTTTGCTGCAAACGTCGGCGTGGAGGGGGAGCTGGTGGGACCCGGGTGGAGCATCAGAAGCAGCAAAAGGATCAGCAAATGCCTCCACAGGCTGGCAAGGGGAAAAGGCAGCAATTTACCCACAGCAGAAGACACATCTAGAGAAACCTGCAGCACCTGGAATGCTGGCAGAGCTTTGTTCTATGAACTCATGAAGAATTACTGCCTTAAATAACCAATTACCCATAACCCAGCCTGTTTGCCTTCAGGAGCCTTGTTACTGATGTCCTCACAACCCGTGTGTGGAGACCCTTCCTCTCCCATAAGGAAGTCTCTCCTACCAGCTCCATGTTACCCACACAGCTCCTTAATTAAATTCCTCCTTCCACCTCTCTCTTTTTCTCTCCTCAGGGCCCACAAACGGCAAAAATACAATTCCCTCTCCTCTCCTTGCACGTTGAATCCAAGGAAATTGCTCTCAAGTGAGGAGGTGACTCTGTGAGCACCAAGACACGGAATCACTTTGGCAGCCTTTGATCTTTAACAGTCCCCTGCATTTCAATTTTCATTTTTTTTCTTGTCTTCAGTGTAGCTGAGCCTTGGTTTGGCGATTACAAACCTCTTGGTAGTGCAGTTGGGAACCAGAGAAAACACAGAGGTGATAAATATTTATCAGCAGGAACTGGTAGGAACATCATTAAAAGTTTACAAGGATGAAAAATTAAGCTTTGATTTTTATCCCCTCTTAAAAAGGTTTTCTGCACACATATTTAAAAAAAAAAAAAATAAATACAATCAGAAGTTGTCACCACTTCATTTCCCTGAGAGTACAATGGAAATAGTGAGTAACAATTAGCCCCAGTCACCATGAGATTTCCAGTACAGTTCTGCCAGACCCTTACACTGTATGGTACATCATTATTATATTTATTTCAGCATTTTAATTTGCATTTTAGTGGATAAATATTGAGAGGATTTACAAAGCCTTCTACACTGAATGACTTATTTGTTAAAAGAAATTAGTCCAAACCCTGGAGTTTCCCAGTCTCAAGTCACAGCCTGAATCTCTAACTTTGCTTTGTGATTTTCTTTGTCCTTCTGTCTGTTTTTGGCCTAGGACAGAAGGAAAACAGAAGGAAACCCATTATTAAGGAAAACAGAGAGATATAATTTTTCATTCCTAAATTCTATCAGTCTGACAGGATTTTTTTTTTTTGCAGTTTACAGGAACCACTAAAGCATTTCTCTGACCACCTGCCAGTCCATAGATTTTAATACATTTTGACTGCATACAGACACAAGACTGGATTCCACTCTCTCTGAGAACAGCAGCAGGAGGAGGAATAGCCTAAAGCCAAAATAATGCCTGGAGGAATAAACATGGTATTAGGAAACATTTTTTTACATCAATATAGACAAGAAAAGCATTGCTACCAGGAAAAGGATCTCTGCTTGGATGAACAACTAGGAAATGCTGGAAGAATGGTCAAAATCAACTGAAGGCAGCAAATAAAGCAGAGCATCCACCACCACTGCTCACAGGGCAAACCACCAAGCTTTGGGAGTCCCTGTCAGTTCTGAAAAGCCTCCTGGATGTGCTTCAAATCTGAATAAAACAAGATTAAGATAATTATAAGAAAGGCTGATGCCTCATCAAAGCCATTAGGCTGATTGTGCTGGTGCACCCTGAAACCCACAGATTTATTTTCTCAACACCTAAATAATAACTGGAAGTAAACCCAATATCATTAAGATTTTATTAGCAAGAAGCTTCATTTAGACACCACCTCACAGTCTTTGCCAGGAAATCAGGAACAATGTCAGTGTGGAATGGTTATGAAATGTATGGATTAGTGATGGGTGGGTTGGAGAGGTTCTCCTCTGCTTTCCCGTGCTGTGCAAAGCAGAGAAAAGCCTTTCCTACAAAATTATGCTCAAATGGGTGCAGAATATTGCCCTGAAATTTTGTGCCAGGTGAGACCCGAACGAAAGTTAAACCCACTCGCTGACAACCACCCCCCGTGAGGCTGTAATCCAGAAACACCCCTCTAATTCTTCATTCCCTGTGTCTGTTATCTTCCTCCAAGGGCAACAGCTGTCTAGTGCCTCTGTACACCTCCCCAGAAGCAGCTAAGAAATTATTCTCAGTACTTTTGACATTAAAAATCAATGGAATGGCAAAAGAACAAAAAGCTCAGCAATGAACGACTGAATGACAGTGTGACTGGTTTGGCTGTCTGTGTCTGCCCTAATGGCAGCATTAAGTTCCACTTTGCTTTGTCCCCAAGCCCAAAGACCCTGAATTAAGATATGACTTTTTTTGTTCTTATTTTCCAATAAAAAACCCTCAACAAACAGACTCACAAACCACCAGGTTAAGGGGAGCGCTGAGGAAGAAAATATTAACAGTCACAATTCCGGAGGTCAATGTCCTGCCAAAGCTTATTGGGAGCACAAAAAGCTACAGCAATGACTCCACTGAACATGGAAAAATATTGTATAAGCTCCAGTAACTCCAGCATCACACAAGGACATGACTAGTAATGATTTCAGTGCAAAGAGGAGAATACAACAGGGAGGTGCAACAGGAACACAGGTTACTGTGAGTAACAGTTACTCACGCCTTATTTAACGACTGGGTGAAGATGCCTTTTAAACAACTTCCCCACAGTATCAATTCTAACTCAGGCTGAACACACCCACATAAGTATGAAGTTGTGTGTAATATTTAATTTAAGTTGGATGAGTTTAAAAGCAGCTGCGTGACTTTGGGAAAGTCACTTCACTTCTCGCTGACAAAGTTTGCACATCTCTAAGGACAAGCACTTCAGCTGTGTCTCTCAAAAGAGGCTTAATTAGCTAATATTTGCACTAAAACCTGACATCTGGTGCCAAAATGCACTGGAGTGCAATACACACCCCAACACCCAGCCCTTAATAGGGACTTGAACGTTTTTTCTGACATTATGAGATTTTTTTCTGCAGCCTCTGTTAAAACTCTGGCTTAATGTTTATGATACAACTTATGCAGGTACCAGTGAGTGATGCCAGTCTGACACAGATGCTTATTCCCCAAAACCACTGCAAAGCCCAGGAGGTGCCAGCAGCAGCTGTCAACCCACCAGCTTTTCACTTTGGGGAGGGGATTGTTTTAAATGACCTCCTTCCCAAACCTCAAGTGGGGTTTAATAAAAGCTTAAGCAATCTGAAACGATCCACAGGCCCTCAAGACTGGGTAGTTTGTCTCAGTAAATGGCATTTGGAAACTTTAATCAAAACCATATGGCTTTTCACAGTGACAATTATGCAGCTTTGCCTAGAGTAATGAAAAATTTCCCCAAGTTTTGCCTACAATTTTCATAGCAAAGAAGATCCAATTATAAGCAAAACAAAAGAGCTGCGGCCTTTTAGCCTTTATTAGGACCTAGTTGGGTGTGCACTTTATGAAATCTGATAATTCTTTTTCTAAGTGACCACTGGCAAGTCCTGGAAATCGAAGTTTTAAAGAAATATTTCATAGATGGCATCAAAGGATGAGCAAGCAAACGATGGCACCAGCTCACCCTGCCACTGCTGGGGGCACTGGAATATTTGCCCTCTGCTTTTTGTGTTTACATCCCTTCTCACTCAGGGCTCCACTGCTTGTTCCATTGGCAGGACATGTACCCAGGCAGAGCAGTGACACGAGCCCACTTGGTCCCCATGATTTGCTACAACACTGAAATAACTGAGCTGCTGAACTTGGAGTTCCCTGGAAACCCAGCTGGAACACGGAGCCTTCCCTCAGGAGGTTGTGAGTCTCAGGGCATTGGGAATTTGACAGAGACCCCTGTTTTTTCTGAAAGCTGAGCTCTGTTTTGTTGCCTTTTGTTTGCCAAGGGAGGGGTTTCCACGGTTTGCTTTTATTTTTTTTTCAGCCCTGTGTATTTTTAGAACCCAAAAGGCTTCGTGATTATGCTGATTCTGAAATTAGGAGAGGCCCCTCTCTGCAAGAGGGCTGTTTTAGAACCATTAAAAGCCACCAAAAAATATGATAGAAAATTAGATGAGGAGCAAATGATCCAAATTGGTGGTGACAGGTGTCTGCATGTCCTTTAGAAAGCCAATTTCTGTGACTGTATCATGCAGAAACAGCACTGCTGTACTGCCTTGAATGACACCCTGTCAAAAACTCACACACCACAGTGAGCCCTTTGTCATTCCATTTAAAGGGTTTTTTCCTAACGATTAGAAAAGCAGTGTCAATGTTATTCTCACCTATTATTCTTGTTTAACTCATAGGAAACTATTTCTCCTTCTATTACATTCCAACAAAAACATACGCACACATCAATCACTTCTTTATACATCACTGAATTTTAATTTCCAAATAAGAACATGACTAATATTCAGGCTTAGAGAAATGAAAATGTTAGTGGCTTTTACACTATGTTTTACTTAAAAAGTCTCTCCCTAGAGACTCCTGTAAAGCAAATTTGATAACACATCAGTGCTATCACTCTACTGAGTCGATGTTAATAGCAAGGAGCCTCCAAAGCATAAGCCCTGTGTCTCTGTGTCTATCTGTATCTTCCCATGGATCATTATTCCTACAGAATGAGATATTCAATGAACCTTGATAAAGGAACAACACAGTTTAGATCCAGGAGCAGCACAGGAAGGGAAAGGGTAGGTGCATCCAAGTGTGGAGTTATTGGGAATTAGCAGTAACTGGATACTGTGCCATTCTAACTGTACTAAAAATAAGGCTTTGGTTGGGATACTCACACTTCAGCTGATGGTTTACAAATCTTTGGATCAGGAGTTCTTTTAGCCTGTTTATATTTTATGGAGTGTTGTGGTCGGTATCTCACCCTTGAGACTTGGCTGTACTTTGGATACAAGAAAACTGAATGGTGAAAAATGAGTCTGATCATCTAAGAATTGAAAAATCAGAAAGCTAAC